AAAACTTAATCCTAAAATTAAAATCGAATACCCTAATTATTCAGATAAAAAATGGTCCAATTCTGATCCACCTATTCCAATGTTCACTGGTACATTATTAGATGAAACAGATCTTATTTCTGCGCTCAGTAATTGTATCAGAGAGATTGGTGGGATTAATCTTAATTATTCATGGTTTACAAATAATTTTATGTAGTAGCAGAGAATGGGTAATTATTTACCAAGTTATTTTTTCAGTTATAATATATCATTAAATAATATCGCAGGATGCATATCATTTTAACTATAGAAGAATAGAGTGGGTAATCAGGTATTCGACAATCTCCGGCTAATTTCAGACAAAGAATTTTTATTTGCTGTGACGTATATATATCTGTGATAATTTTCCTTGTTTTACTTTTGATTTTAGACATGGGCACTGATTGACGCTAGCCGTTTTTTTGACGAAAATTTCATGCAATTGTTGAAGAGAGACATTCGGAAATAATGGTAGTCCCTCATCAGTAAACCAAAATTTCTTTACCCCACTATCGATGAATTTTTGTATTAACACACTTGGAACATCTTCTAAGGGACCATGAAATTCTTCAAACTTTCGGAGGTACACTCTTGCATTTTTATCAGCTTCTTCTGCCATTTCTTGATTAGTATAACTGATAATATCAAGTTCTTCCTGAATTGTTGCTATATCGTCTTCTAAGCATAAAAGCAAATCAAATAATCTAATTGATTTATCTGAAGAGGCTTTATCCCTTCTAAGTTCTGCTTCTAAAATGGGATTGATATCTATACCAAGTTTTATCTGTATAGATATTAAATCCCTCACCAATTCTAACAGCAATTCATATGAATCGGCAAGTTTTTTCGCTTTCTTGCTTTCTGACACTGCCGTTTGATTTATATTATTGTTAATACCAAGTTTTTTCTGAATAGGTGTTATATCTTTTTTCTTATATAAAAGCACCTCGTATAATTGAGGAAATTTTTCATTTGGATTAGTTTTATTATTAGTATTACTCGTCATGATTGCTATAATATGGTAATATAATTAATGCAGAAAATAACGCATAAATATATAAATTAAGTGAATATAGTAAATTCAATCTGTAATTAATTATAACCACATCGTAACTGTGAAATCACATCACGTTATAATGGACCTCAGGAAAGCGATAACATGTGCGAATAAGTATTTGGCTATGCCAGCTTTACTGAGAAATAAATTGTTTTATTATATATTGGAAGAATGAATTACAAAGTTTCGGGATGTAACCTGTAATAATAACAAGATATATATTGTTGTATAATGACCTTTTGTCATAATATTTTATTGGATTATAAATATCTTATATCTTATTGGATAAAGATTATATCACGTGAAGTGAGCGAACAAG